TCAAGCGTAAATGTGCCCTTCAGCTTTTCATCGCACAAGCTGAAACTGCAGCAGACATTGCCACGGGTAGTGAATACCGATGAGGCACAGAGCGGTGCGATTCCGAAGTATCGCTCCTAAATGTGCTCCCATGTGCAAGACCTCGGAGGCTCAAATCTGTGGTTGAACCAGATGCTTTCTAAATTATTCATGTACTAGCACCGGGCCAGCAAAATTGGTTAAATGCGTAATTAATTCCAAAACACTTTCATTGGAATTTTTGGGGTGGGGAAGCAAACCAAGAGCCGCCCAAGTGATCTTCTGCTTCACAGTGAGCAGAATGTCTGGACCAGCATGTGCCAGGATGATGCTCTTGCACAACACTGAGGGGCGGAAAAAATGATGCAAGTAAGGTTGTGTTGAACCCAAAAATCAGTGACGCTTCTCTTGTCTAAATTGGCTGCTCACCTGGAGCATCCCACAGTCCTTCAGTCAGTTTTGGAGTTAGTTTTTGAAGTCATGAAATCATCTTTCCGTGTCGCTGAAGTTACTCCTTCGGTCTTCCTTATCCAGTATTGCCCCAATTCAGGTTTTCTGAAAGAAAACACAGTATAAGTCAAATGTAATTTCACTGCATTTTCAAATTGTTGGATTTTTATGTTTTCTGGTAGCTGTGCTGCTGGCATGGCAACGCTGCTGTTGTGCAAGCTTGGAAAATAAGAAAGCCCGAGTTATCAGTGTTATTATAAATAGCTATTAAAGCTGACAGGATTTTAAATGTTGTTATTAACATTCTTAATGTTAACTCGAGGGTAGAGTGAGAGGATAAAATGTGGCTGTGGCTGTCTGGCAGCCAGTGAGAGCTCCCCGCAGGAACCCATCCATGGTTGGAGCTCTGTCATCCTTCCTCAGCTATTCCTTGCCTTGGGAAGGAGGGGAAGAAGGAAACCAGTTGCTCCTCAACTTCATCTGCTTGCACAGATCGGTTTAGCTTGCATTTTGGTGGCTTTGTGGTAGGCTATTAACAAGGCATTTCAGTTGATAGGTACGTACTTTGTGAAGTTTCTACCAGGCGAATGCATCCAGGTGCAATTGCCAACGAGTTGGAAAAGGGTAAGGGCATAAGTCAAGCCCTTTCCCTTATGTGAGACTCTGAAATGGGACAGGTATGACAAGGTACCGACAAACCCCAGATTTTATTATACCAAGAGCATGTAATTTTTACAAGAACGTGATTGTACCTTCACCACTCAATGTAAGTTGGGGGGGGGGTGTATCTCAACAAATATGATATGAAACGTTTGAATTAAGACCAGAATTGTTTGCTTTTCACTTAATTTTTGTGGATTGTGTGCAAATCTGTATTTTTAAGGACCCAGTTTGATACGAATGTGAAGACTGGTGCCAAAACACATCTGTTAGCAGCTTTTAATCTTCACGTTTGACAAAGCGTATAGATATGGACAAATTGTAATTTACATGATGAAACCGCAGGGTGATGGATTGCTGCAGTGGCGTGGAACGCCATGGAAAGGAAATAAATTTCACAAGATAAAAGAGAGGGGCTGGAGTGCATTTACTTCTATTAGAAGCTTTTACAAGGTATGTGTACTACAGCGTACTACTACCTGGGCTCAAATCTACCAGAGTAAATCCTCTTCAACAAATAAAGCTTTCTTTGGGACTCTGCTTTATTAGAGAGGAGATTATTTGGTTTTGAGGGTCATTCTAGAGTAGAGTTTGAATGAACTTGAGTTGCTTTCCAAGGTAAACACAACCCCAGAACAAAGCATATCTGGGTTTACTGTTACATACAATGGTGTTTTAAGAGCTTGCACCTGGCGTGGCAGAGCGAACATTAAAAGCTTGTGAAGAATTGCCAGTGCAACATATGGCACATCCCACTGACAGATCCAGAGTTGGTCTGGACCGGGTATGGGCCCCTCGCCAGGGGTTAAGGTTCTCATTGCAGTGATATGCAGCAGCTAAGTATTTATCACTGTTGTAACGAGGTGTAATTGCTCGTAATCTTCCCCGAAACTCTCTTAGAGGTGATCAAGCCTTCCTGTTGCTTTCTGACACCATAAAATGCCAGATCTGGACTGATGCAATTTCCCTGTTGTCTTCTTCCCCTTCAACTGCATTGCAAACTAACAGCTTCCTTGTGGGTTATGTCCATCACTAGTTAGGGCTCGGTATAGCAGTCATGGCAGGCTGGGGTTTGTTTTCTCGTCACCCCCCTCTGACATCACCCTCTGCTCTGTGGAGGGCTCGGAGCTGCAAACCTTTGTGGGGAAGGAAGCAAAACCTCGTTTGCTTTTAAAATCATTCTGGGTCTTTGTTCAAAGGACCTAATCCAAGTGACCGTCCCATGCCGTCTGCTGTGGAACGCAGGAAAGCGGCTTTAGTTTCCCCTGCATCTGCTGAGATTCATAAAGATCAGCCCCTATGAAATATCAAAGTGGGGGATGCTGCAGGATTGCAGCCGCTCAGCACTCGTGGGGCGAGCCGGGAACTTAAGATGGGGAGGTGCCTCCCGGGTCACTGCTGTGCGGGTGATTTTTTTTGCAACACGTTGCCATGCACTCCCTTTCATAAACCTACAACTTTCCATGATGGGGTTGGGAAAGTCTCTTGTTCCTTGTCCTGCTTCAAACTGCTCTAGCACCTGGCTAGTGCTATCAATGTTTTCCTAATTTTCTTCCCAAGGAGGATGCAGAGCTCTTCTTTGAAGGGCCAGCAGTGCTAGGATGGCCAGCATCTGTTGGATAAGCCTCAGGACAAGGTGTGGAGGTCCTGACACCTACCACGGAGTGACACAGGAAAGGATTTTTATCAGATAAGAGACTAAACTACTAAGCTGGGGCATCCTTCAGAGCTCTGCTTCTGGGTGTGAGATGTTATTTAGCTCCCTCTTCCCCCCACCCCCCTGCAATTTTTTGTTATGCAAGGACTGCACCATCTGGATGGCAGATGATACCTTTACATTTGTCTGTTTTCAGTTTTCTGACTATAAATCATCTGATTTAGCTGGTTTCTATTGCTTGAGCTCTTCCCAGTGTTTGAACTAGCTCTGCTTTAAAGCCGTGCTGCCTCAATAGGGAGATTTCTGCTGGGGCTCCCACTCCTGCTGCGCCTTCCAAATATATATATATATATATATATATATCTATGTGCTCTGAAGCGTCTGAATCAGATTCCTCCACTACCGCAAACAGCTTTCTACATTGAGTCTCCTTTTGCTTGGCCAAATAGGCTCTTCGCGGACAAAAGAGGAGTAAAGATGACAAAAGAGGGGTAAATTGATGTCTGAATTAACACTGCTGGCCAGCCAAAATCCATCACTGGGCTCTATCAACTGCAGAAAATTGTCCTTCTGTCTTTCTAACCAGTTTTCTTGCCTACTGAAGAGAAACCATGGTCTTTCTAGAGTTGTCAGAAACACAGTGGATTTTCATCTGTCATCTCTTTTCATGAGAAAAGAGGGGTTTAAAATTCTGCTGATTTTACTAGCAAAGTCAGTCTGATTATGTAGCGAGGTTTTTTGTTTTATGCTTTGTTTTTATTAAAATTTGTTGCCTCCTAGTTTCATGTGCTGCCAGCTAGTTTTTGTACCAGAAGATGATGTTTAGTTTCTCCATAGCCCTTGTGCTGAGATGAGCTTTTTGGTAGGACGGTCCTCAGCGTACGTGTGGTACCAGATCTTCCTCACGTACGTTCACCTCCAGTCCTGTCATCCTCCCTGCCATGAAGTCTGTTTCCAGACCTCCAGCAGATGAGATGTGGAGGCCATCCACATCTCCAGCCATTTGTATCGAATGACTTCTCTCTTCCTTGGGGCTCTGTGTGTGTGTGTCTTCTCCTCCAGCACGGTCTTGGGTTATAAGCTATTTATCCATAAACACAAGAAGTCTCAAGCGCATTGCTTAAAACACCAGAGACTGCTTCTATTTTGTCAGTGTATCGCTGCTCGCGTCTTAATTTTCCATTTTTGTATGTGGCTAATTAACACTTGGACTTGCTCTTGAGGGAGCTTCTCTGTTCAGTGCTTTAGATGGACCCACCACGTGGTCAGCAGCAGTGCGTGGTGCTGGAGCTAATGCTCCTTGGGCTGGCTGGGTGGAAATGGTTTCAATGAATGTTTTGAAGCTGGGCCAGAGAGTGAATCAAACATGAATGACCGTGAGTCACTTTGGAAAGTAGCTCTGTCGGGGGCTCAGGGGGTGACGTGCCTGCTGCAGATAGCTCCGCTTGCACGCTGGCTTCGAGGGCCCTCCCGGCTTGTCCTCAGCTGCGAGGCTGTAGCTGCCACCTCCTTCGGGTGTGGGGAACGGCGTTGCTTAGCATGCTGAGTGCGAATGAACCCGGGTATCAGTCATGGAAACGCTGCGTTGCAGGAGTTGAATGTAAGATAAAGGAGGCGGTCTCTCTGCCGGAGAGCCCTGCTGGGCAATTGTCCGGGAGGAGCCGAGCCGCAGCGCCGTGGAGAAGGAGGGCACGCTCCTGGCGGGTTTGGTGTGGGGATAACAGCAGGCATCCCATCTTGGCTGCTTTTTTCCCAAGAAATCCCGGCATCGTCGTCTTCAGCGTGCGTTTGCAGCGGGGCTTGGGCAGTGCAGCCTTGCATTCCACCTTTTGGCTGGGTCGTTTTTTTACCGCCTTGCCTGAGCTCGAGCGCTGCGCGTCCCCTCGGGATGCCTGTCCTTGCAGCCCAGGGAGGGGGTCCCACAATACACAAGGTGTATTGCAGTGCAGATAACGTTTTGCGGGGATGGGGACCGTTTTGTGTCCCGTGGGGAGGCAGGTATACCCCAGGAGGTGAGCCAAACCCCTTCCTCTGCTCCCCAGATCCCTGGACCATGTCGGCGGGGAGCTGACTGGACAGCAGTGACCGAACCCCATCGCATCTCCCCTGCACAGCTCTGTTCCCACCCACCCCGGTGTAAATACGTGGGTTTTTTTTTTGCTCTAGTGACCAAGGGCTAATTTGCTTCTCCTTTGCCCTTTTTCTCTTTTTAAAGGTGAACCCCACACCGCAGGGTACACGGGCGCTGCTGAAAATGATGTACTGTCCGTACTGCCGAGGTCTGGTATCGGTGAAGCCCTGTTACAACTACTGCTTTAACGTCATGAGAGGCTGCTTGGCCAACCAAGGGGACTTGGACGCCGAGTGGAATATCTTTATGGGTAAGGCAATATGGGTTAAAACTGCATGTGAGTATATACCGATAACTTGTCCCTTATCTGAATAGCTTTTTTGAGTGGCAGTGCTGAGCTATAGCAGGTTTTTAAGGTGTCTGTGATGGGCATTTTTTCCTTCCGCACCTCTGTATACAATGCACCTTTTACTGTTCATGTTAATTGCTAAATAAATGAGAATTCTGTGCCAGTGACCTTTGTTGCAGCAAGCTTTAGGAGGATGGAGCTGCCATGTGCTTGTAGGCTTGGAGCGTCTCTTCTTGCTGGACCAAGCATGTGTGCAAGCTGTTTTTTCCATACTACTCCTTACACATTGTTGTCACCATACAGCTGTCCTTTCTGAAGCCAGTTTTCTTGCTCAGCAGCCTGGGAGTCTCCCTGCCAGCTGCAGTGAGCTTTGGGAAAAGCTGCAGGCCTGTATTTTACATTAAAAAATTGAATGGGACATGTGTCTGAATCTGTTTTTAAACAGCTCATTTGGCGCTCGGCCACCGTCCTTTTGAAATGTCGATAAGCCTTACATGACACTGTGTGAGTGCTTTTGCCATCCTCTTCCTCCTGTTTGTTACTTTTCTTCCATGCTTATAAATGGTATTATTTGATACATGAAATTTAAACTGAAATGTTAAATTCCACCTTGGGTCAAGGCTCAGCAGAATTGGCGGTGCATCACGTTTTGGGGACACAGGCAATAGATAATGTTAAATGTTAAATTTGTGCTCCTTTTCCAGGAGGCTTGATTTATCTGTGAACAAGCATCCTTTGGGAGCAGTCGCTTCACTCCAGTTAATGTGTGATGAAGTGCACATGTAAAGTATCTGCAGCTACTGACGAAGCTGCTGTACTCTTCCCATCCCTCTGATGGAAAAAAAAGACTGTTAGAAAGTTAAGATTTCCCTTTCATTAAGCTGTGAGACAAAAAAGGGAAATTGCTGATAATTGGCATTTCAGGCTAGATTTAGATTTTTAGAACTTGTTTTCCAGTGTGTTGTGCACTGGCTTTTCACTTCACTGCCCGTGCCAACTGGATGTGTGTAGGGTATTATTTTCAGAAGGCACTTTTTTGCCTGTGTATGCCATGTAGGGCGTTAAATGTGACACTAAATTGGGTTTCCAAGTCATTCTCTGGGAGGCTGACGCCCCCACCCCCCCCATTCCTCCCAGCCGTCTTTCTCATGAGAATATTAAGTATTTCAGCTACAATTGTTGCTGAAATAGCTCAAAGCCAGGAGACTTGCAAACATCTAGTCCAAGTAGAAAAGAGGAATCCCATGAAAGGGAAGGGCATAATGCCAGAAAACAGACAAAAGCACAAGCAGCTAATTGCTGTAGGTGGTATGCAGCTAAAAACGAACCTCAGGGGCAGGGGGGGAAGCCAACGAGCCCTGTCACAAGAGACTGATCAGGGACTGCATACAATAATTACAATTATTAAACAAGACAAAATAAATAAATGCAGTTCCAGGTTGGAAGTAAAGCTTTCTTCTTGTAGTGCTTCCTCCCCATGGGGCTGCTTGCCCACTCATTACTTAAGTATGGTATTAAGCTTCGTTACATTTATTGGCAGTATTTGCTTGGTTCGTGCACTCTGGATTGATTATTGCAGTGGAGTATGGATACCGAAAACTTAAGCTGTGCTTTCTTTAGACAGCTTAATAACTGAACAGGTGCTGGTTACGTTTCAGATTTTGGTTTCTGTCTCAATTTGCCACTTGAGTCAAATTAAATGAAATAGATGTGGTGTTTGGGGCAGGGTGTATGTCGCAAATATCCCGTGTGTGTGTGTTTAAAGGTTTAAATAAATGAATAAGTAAACAAAAACCAACCACCACCAGCCCCTCTCCGCAAACCACCCCGCAACAACAGGAAAAAAAAAAAAAAAGCGCCTGCATGGGCTTGATGCTATTTTGTGTCACGGGTTTAAGTACTAAGTTATGGCAATGATTTATTACATGTCAGATTTTGAACCTAGCAAAATAACTTAAAGGTAGTTAAATGGGAGAATTTGCAACAAATGCTGCAAGTATATATGAATTTGGGTGCACGTGCGTATAAAATATACATGCGCATGTTTTGGTGGGTCTGTATGTAAGACACTTGTGTGAAGCTTTTCCAAAGCGGGATGTAAAGTTGGTTGTTTTTTTGAGACAAGAAGGCTTTATACTACCTTACTTCCGCAAAGTACCGTTTAAAATTGCAGCATATGAAATAATGACCAAATTGTTCTCTTTTCTCCCATTTAACTATCTTTAAATTATTTCGCCCTCCATTCCTGACACAATTGTACACCAATTAGGCAGGGGTATACTTTGTTTCAAACAAGCTGCTGGGGGGCTTGGAGCTTTCCTGAATGAACAGTGTTAATCTCCAGTTCCTTTTATTTTTTTTTTCATTTTATTTTTTTTTTCCCGCCACAAAGGTTTACTCTGCTCAAAGATGTCAAATTCAGGCTCCATATACATATCTGGAGTAGTACTTTGTGTGCCAAGAATTTTTTCCCCCTTTAAAAAAAAAAAAAAAAAAAGATTGTTGTTAATGAATGGTCAAGGTCTTCCCCCTCCTTCCCTCCCCTTTTAAATCAGATCTTGGGGTTAAGACTGAAAACTGCCTTTTGTTCTTCAAGTCAGACAGTGAGGCTGAAGATGTGGGTTTCTGATTATTGGTAGCACAATGCGAAAGAATTGCTTTCCTTCATGAGAGCGAGGTGCTTTGTCGCCAAGGATTGTCTCAATGCCAGTAGCAAGGACAAATGTATGCAGGAGGAAAAGGGTCTTTAAGGGATAGCACTATATGGTGTGGGTTGGGTTTTTCTCCCCCCCCCCCTTTCCAAATCCACTTCTATCTCCCCATCACAGGGAGGAGAGGCACTGTTTGTCATGCTGTGTGTTTGTAATAAATGGCCAGGGTACATTTTTCACTCTGCCAGACTTTTTTTTTTTTTTTTTTTTTTTTTTGGTTGGTGTGAAGCAGATCTGAGCCACCTCACCGTGGCTTATAAATATAATTATTTCGCACCAGAGCTGGGGCAAGATAATTGATATTTATAGTCAACTCCTCTCTCCCAAGAATGGAAAACCTTTTTGGGAGATGAGTTGCACCAAAGTTTCAGTTCTGGCGTTAGTGCAGCGTGTCCCCCCCCTCGATGGGCAGCAGTGCTAGCGTTAGCCTGAACCCCCCCCAGCCTTATTCACGGCAAATGTGGCTGCCAGAGGGAATCGCTGCTCGCCACGGCTGCTGGTGGGGACACCAGCCAGCTCCTGGTGGGAGGTAAAAGTTTGCAGGATGCCCCCAAAATCAAAACTGTGGATGAGGTAGATCCCCCCCGCCCCCCTCCCACCGTTCCCTCCCCAGCTTTTATGGAAGTTTATTTCATTTAACCAGTATCAATCCCAGCTCCCGAAGAGCTCCAGTTGACTATATTCTCCAAGGGCAATTATTACTTTCCTTATCTTTTCTCGCCAGCTTTGGCAGCTCTGCTGGAGGCCGAATGCATTTTCTCTATCGGTAGTCAAAGCGGAGGCTGCATTCCTGGGCTGTGATACATGTAACGCCATGGCACCCCCGCTAACAAAGGACCCAATTCGCTCTACATTCCCATGGTCTTGTGGATGGCCTGCCCGGCTCAAAGTTTACAAAGACGCCAAACAGCCAGAAGAATTGGGGTTTATGTTTCCTTTCAGTCTTTCACAAACACTTTATTGATCTGCGGCCTTTCCTGGCCGCTCGGAGAATTAAGTAGTTACAAAATGGAATGATTTTTTTTTCTTAAAAAAAAAAAAAACCAACCCAAAACTATGCATTTTGCATGTTTTATTATCTATCCATTCATAATATTTTTATTTGAAATGAGCAGCTTCCTGCAAACTGCACGGGGATGTTCTTTATGCGCGTGAAAAACCCCAAAAGCTTTGACAATGATGAACACATTTAAGTTGTGCTCCACTTGTTTACAAAAGTCTCCATTTGGTAGCACATCAAAAGCATTTTTCTCCCCTCCGGCACAATGGTATATTCATGCTAGCAGTCATTACTCAGAGATTTGAAGCATCACTTTATTGGAGCCCACCACAATACAGTCTAAGACCCTTTGTTTCATTTGTTATTACCTTCTTTTTCTTTTTTTTTTTTTTTTTTTTTTTTTTTTAAAAAATGCATTAGTTCAGACCTGTTTGTAGTCCCTGACGGCTAAATTTCAGCCATGCCCTGCAACAGCTCCGTCACTGATGCTGGCGGTGTGTGTCTGACAGGGCGAGGGGCTTTTCTGGGGGCTCCTGCTCCTCCTGGGGTGCACTCCCTGAACACTGGCACCTTGGCGGAGTCCCAGTTGACATGATTTTTAGGATGGGTCGATCAACTGGTATACCTTTAACACCCAGCAAATCTTTAGAATACTGGGAGCTGTCTTTAAAAAATGGATTTACAAGCTAGGAAGGCACCTGCAGTTCATGTAGGGGGGTTGGATTTTTTTTTAATTTTCTTCTTCTTGTTATTTCAAATACACAAGTAGCTTAATTGTATATTTGTCATCAGTTTGTGGGGTTTTTTTACATGACTTGGGCACTAAGGCAGAGCTATTACTAAAATGTTCAGTACGTGGAATATCTTTATAGGGCTTTAACAGGTAGCCAGAGCCCACAGAAGTTTTCTGCTTGTTGAAAGTACCTGCTGTGCTTGGGAGGAGGGTGAATGTCGTGAGAAACACTTTTCAAGAGAAGTTAATAGACTGACAGTGAAATGCCCATTTCTCCTTAATGGAAGGGAACAGGCGTATCCTTGGGAGCAGGGAGGAGCTCCTCAGGAGAGGATTTCCTCAGGGCTGGAGGGGCCATTGTGCCCTGGCCTCCCACGTCACGCAGGCTAGGAAAAATTGAAGAATTAAATGCAACTGGAAAATGATGAGTTTGTGGCAGAGCGTCATGAAGTGACGCAGGAGAGGAGACCAGCAAACGGCGGGTTGCTTTGGGATCAAGGGACCACTGTGAAAGCTAACATTAAATAAAGGTTGTGACAGGCGGGAAGGGACGAGTGCTTGGCACGAGGCGTGTACCTGGAGGCACCTTCTGAGGGAGAACCAGAGAGAGGGCTTAAATGCAATGCAGGGTGAAAGCCTTAATGCCAATAAATAATAATTTCCCAGAGGAAGTAGTGGATGTTTGGTGGCTGCTATGTTTAACGATCTGCGTGATGAGGACGTGCATGTTGGCACGGGAGAAGTGACCCGGTGTTGGCTGAGGGGTGTTTCCATCTCCCCTTGCCTAGAGATGTGCCAAATCTATCATTAGTGCCCGGCGTTTACCTTGGCCTCAAGCAGTCTCCCTCGTGCAGATTGCCCGTGTAATGCCAGAAGGTGCAACCCCTTGGCTTCCCCAGGCACGGCCAAGCCTGTAGCTTTCCGTAAGGGAGGGATGATGGCAGTGATCATCTCAGGCCCTTTCGCGTTGGTGTCTTGCTTTGAGGACCAGCATGAGGAGGCCGGTGGCTTTGAAAGCAGACTTGAAAAACAAATGACACAAGGCAACCTTTAATAAACGAGCATGGGGAGGAGGGTGTTAGTAATGCTTGTTCTAATGGGAGGAGCTGATTACAGGCTGCCTCTTGGCAGGCTGCGATGGTTCTCCCTCGTTTAACGTGGCTTTTGATGTATATGAGCCCGTGGCTTGGTGCCGGCAGCCTCTAAGTGTCTGGTGAAGTTGTAGGCTCTGGGAATGGATCAAAATATTTCCTGGAGATGTGCGCTGGTCAGAAGCGATGTAGTGGTGGTTAATGTCTATGTGCTCAATCTGTTATCCTTCTTATCTGTTATTCTTGAAGCTCCTCCATTAAAAGCCTTTGTTTCTCTTTGTGTGTTAGATTCGATGCTGCTGGTAGCAGAGAGGCTGGAGGGTCCCTTCAACATTGAGTCAGTCATGGACCCCATTGATGTGAAAATTTCCGATGCAATCATGAACATGCAGGAAAACAGCATGCAGGTGTCTCAGAAGGTAAATAAAGCCCAAGTGCCCTCATGGTCCATTTATCTAATGTGTTTTATTTCCCTAGTCTTGTCAATATATTGTTTGGGTTTTGTGTGGGGGTTTTTTTTAACAGCCTTTCTAGTATGTATAAAGCTGATGTATGATTTTGGGCAGGGGCTGGGTTGGAGCCTGGAGAAGGGAGGCTCTTGTTTTGCTCCTATTTCAGAAAACCCCTTTCCTTCTCTCGCGTAGGTTTTCCAGGGATGTGGCCAGCCAAAAACGCTTGCCCAGGGTCGCACCGCCCGCTCCGTCTCCGAGAGCGGTTTCAGCGCCCGTTTCAGGCCCTACAACCCCGAGGAGCGGCCAACTACAGCCGCCGGCACGAGCTTGGACCGACTGGTGAGTGCCTGGTCCTGCCGGTGCCGCGCAGGCGCTTCGCACCCGTGTGCCGCCGCGTATAATTTTCCGTTTGTAATTTATAGGGTTTCTTAATATTCCTTGGCTGTCTTAAACTCTCTGAGGGGTGTAATCTGCCCATGGCTCTAGACGCGAATTACCTCAACGCTTCTATGTCGGAAAAGTGCCTGTTTTAAAGGCTTGGCTTGTGAGTAATATGTGTTTGAGGAGCAGTGTTTAATTTTGTATTAAAGTAAATCAACCATCAAAATATGCAGCCTGAAGATCTGGCTTGTACACGTCTGTTGTGATAAAAAATACCTTTCCAGCTTCACTTTTAATGAGCGTTTGGTATTCTGGATTATGTCCGTGTTTCTTTTTTTCTTTTATTTAATAGGTTACTGATGTGAAAGAGAAGCTGAAGCAAGCCAAAAAATTTTGGTCTTCTCTCCCTGGCAACATTTGCAATGATGAAAAGATGTCTGTGGGCACTGTCAATGAGAACGAGTGCTGGAACGGGAGCGCCAAGAGCAGGTTTGGCGATGCTGCTGCCCCCGGTTAACTCTCTCCCTCTCATCCCAGCCCTTCCTGGCGGGCCGGGCCCTCTCCCCGGGCCCTCTTCTCCTACAGGAGTGACCCCAGCTTCCCCAAAACAGGCTGCTGCCGTTCCCCCTTTTTTTTTTTTGGTAGATGGGAGAACTTGAACGCAAAGCTAAAGGGTTGTCTGAGTTCTGTGCGGTGGTTTTGTTTTAAAGGAGGGAACTGATACCCAGATACGGCATCACTCCTTGGACTGAAACCTCTTACTGGTTGCTCGTGGGTATAGGGAGGCGATTAGTACAAAATCCTGTATCAAGGGCATAGAGTGGGGAGACTCGTGTTGCCTGACCAAGCTGTTGCACCAGTGCTCCCAGTTGGTGTTTCTGCCAGGAGCTATTTCTGGATTCCGTGTTGAGCAGGGACAGGGGAGATAAAGGCTGGTGAAAAGTCCTCTCCTCTGCTGCTGAGGTCAGTGGCGCAAAGGGGCCCGTGGCTTCCACGCACGCTTTTTATTGAAAAGCAGTTACAAAACTTTTTTTTCCTTGTAAGGAGGAAATTACCGACACGTGAACAAGCCAAAGGTTTTCTGTCATACGGTTTATGTAACTGTTTAACTTTTATTTCGGAAATAGAAGTTTCTTTTTTTCTGTTTGCTTACTGAGGAAATAAGCAAAATCCAAGATGTTCCGTTAAAAAAAAAAAAAAAAAAAAATTAGTCCAGGGCTTTCCAGCAGTTTTTCCTAAGTAATAGCAGTTTTTGCCCTTGATACTTTCGGGGCACAGGACTGAGCCATACCACATAAATTTTGCACTGTTTTGTGTGCGCCTGAAACTGCCTCACTTGGCCAGGGCGATGGTTTGGGTCTCTACAGTAAGAAATGGCTCTGACCTCCTGATGTCTTGTTTATCAGCAGCTTGTACGGGGCTTTTCACAGCAGACTTCCCCAGTGCGTGTGAGGGCCAGCACCAGTAAGGAGGGGAGGTGGACACTTGGCAGCACTGGGCAAGGAGACAGAGGGGAGGCTGGGCATCCTGTGTGGGTTGTGCAGGATATTTTGCTTTGCTGTTGCTATTTTCCCTGTGGCTCAAATAAGCTAAAAGTTCAGTAGTCTTCCACACTTTGATCTCTCTCTGACTTCTTTGAAACATATTATATTGACCACAAATAATAACAAAACCAACAACAATAATAAGAATAAATCCTCCCGTATATGGGACAGGATTTGAGCATGCCCTTCAGATGTATTCTTATATCTCACTGCCCGGTCTCCAGGAACAGTAGATTGTGCTAAAGGATTTTCTTTCTCTCGTGATAACTGATGTCGATATAATAACTAAGAAAAGTAATGTTTTCTTCTGCTAAACAGTGATTTTTCTTGAAAGTCAGGTAATTGGAAGAGGGAAAAAAATGCCATATCCCTGCTCTATAAGATGATACTTCAAATACCTGTTTCAGGAGATGTATTTGGTTGGGTTTTGTTGCTCAGTTGCTCTTTTAAACCAGGAGGCCATGTGTGTGTTTGGACCTGAGCACACATACCTACTCAGGCTGAGCAGCTCGGCTCTTCTCCGCTTCGATGCGTGGGGTTGTGTTATCTCCTCTTCAACATCACAGATGTTTCTCCTGCTGGGGTTATTAGGGAAATTACATCTCATGTCTGCCTGGTGAGAAGTACACATTTAATACCCCAGCTTGATGGTTAAGGTACATTATGCAGAGCCAGAATGACACGCTTGCCTCCAACAGTTACTATAGGTTTCTCTGGGATAACTATGGCCCCAAAGGTTGTTTTCCCAAAAGTGTCATCTACCTGGGCATCAGGGCAACTCAGCAGCTTCTTTTGCTCTGTTGCCTGCAGCGAGCTGATTTATGCTGTTGTAAGTCATTATTATTATAAACCCCGGATCTTCCTTCTCTTTTCAAGTTGGGGAGAAAATTGTCTTTCCCCTGCCTTAGTGACACAGGCTATATGAAAACAGTGTTTAATTCCACATGCTGCTCAGGCTGCAGGGAGGAGAGATGGGGTAAAAAGCCGGAGAAGGGCTCCATGAGGGCTAGCACGTGGGAAGATGACACTGAGCTCAGAATATCACCCAGGCTGGGAAGGGGGGTGGCATTGCCGAGTTCCCACGGTCTCGCCCAGCTCCCCTACCAGCAGGAACGGTTTCTTTTCAGGTATGAATTTGCGGTGACTGGAAATGGCTTAGCAAGTCAAGTGAATAACCCTGAGGTGGAAGTTGATATTACCAAGCCAGACATGGTGATTCGCCGGCAAATCATGGCTCTGCGAGTGATGACCAATAAGCTGAAGAACGCGTACAGCGGGAACGATGTCGACTTCATTGACATAAGTACGTTTGCTGTTGCTTGCCTTTTGCTTTTTCTTTTTCCCTTTTTAATTGGATTTCATGCTAACTCGGGGTAGCTGGTTAAGCTTCAGCTGTGGGTAAGCGTGTTAGTAAAGAGGGTGGGAACTGGCATCTCCGACAGGCTGTGTGAGGAGGGTTGTTCCCATAGAATCATCGGGTTGGAAAGGAACCTGTAAAGGTCATCTAGTCCAACCCCCCTGCAAAGAGCAGGGACATTTTCAACTAGACCAGAGTGCTAATTACTTGCACTTGTAATGCTTACCTGTGCTATCCTAGAACAGTTTTGGTTGGAAGGGAGCTTAAAGCCCCTCCAGTGGCACCCCCTGCCCCGGGCAGGGCCCCCTTCCCCAGCCCAGGGGGCTCCCAGCCCCGTCCAACCTGGCCTTGAACCCTTCCAGGGAGGGGGCACCCACAGCTGCTCTGGGCACCCTGGGCCAGCGCCTCACCCCCGCACAGGGAACAATTTCTGCCTTACATCTCATCTAAATCTGCCCTCTGGCAGTTTAAACCCATCACCCCTCGTCCCATCCCCACCCCCTGACCCAGAGTCCCTCCCCACCTCTCCTGTCCCCCCTTTAAGCCCTGGGAGGCCGCTCGAAGGGCTCCCCGGAGCCTTCTCTTCTCCAGGCTGAACCCCCCCAACTCTCTCAGCCCGGCCCCCCAGGGGAGCTGCTCCAGCCCCCCCAGCATCTCCGTGGCCTCCTCTGGCCCCGCTCGAGCAGCTCCGGGTCCTTCTGCTGTTGGGGGCCCCCGAGCTGGCCCCAGCACTGCAGGGGGGGCTCCCCAGAGCGGAGCAGAGGGGGACAATCCCCCCCCTGGCCCTGCTGCCCCCCCTGCTCTGGCTGCAGCCCAGGGCACGGGTGGGTTCTGGGCTGCGAGCGCCCGTTGCCGGGTCGTGTCCAGCTTTCCCCCCACCCCCCCCCAACACGGGTGGGTGTGAGGACCGGCCGGCAGAACTCGCCTCAACCAGAAGACCCCCGCTGCCGTCTCGGCAGTTCCCAAACAGCCCCGCGCTTGCGTTCCCCCCCGGCCCCCGCGGCAGGCGGCAGAGGCGTGCAGCACGCGTGTGTCTCCCGCAGGTGAGGAGAGCAGCGGGGAGGAGAGCGGCAGCGGCTGCGAGCCCCAGCAGTGCTCCCCGGAGTTCGAGTTCAACGCCACCGAAGTCACTGGGAACTCCAACAAGAGCGATAAGAACGTGAACACTTCTGCCGCTACCAGGAGCGGTTTATCGCCAGCGGCCTTGCTCCTTAGCGTTTTGTTCTTGGCCCTGCAAAGACAATGGAGATAATTGTGCAGCGTAGGAAGGGGGGGGAAAAAGACTTTTATTATCAAAGTTAGAAGGCACCTGCTTTCACTTTTATACCATCTAGGGACTTTGCTTTTTAAGTTAATGGACAACAGTGTACAGTTTTTACTATGTTGCCACTGGTTTTAAGATACTGATTATTTTTTTTTTCCCTTGCTATTCTGGGAATAACAGAAACGGGGACTACCAGTCTGTCCCGTTCACCAGGGATCCATCCATGTTAGAGTTGGATAACGAAAATGTATATACAAGCCTGTAGTTAGCTCCGCATTTGTGTCTTTTTTCACTTTTTTTTTTTTTTTTTTTTTTTCCTTTTACCATATTTCTTATGAAAACAAAAAAAAACCCCAGGGTCTTTCCTTGGCCTGTAACAAGTATGTGTTTCTGAAATGAGAAATATCTGTACAGAAGCAGGTTTTATTTATCATGTTATCTTTTGGGGAGAAAAAATAATTGCCCAACAAGCAGAAAACACGTTTCATGTAGTTAACTTCCCATTTATCCACATTATGTTAGTTGCCTTATCTGGAAAGAAGTGGAGGTAATTTGTCTTTATTATGCAGGAAAACAGAAGGTGAAGGCAGAGCTGGTCAGTGTGCCAAGTGCCCCATTTGCATAGGGCGTTAATGCCAGGAGCAGGATGTATTTTTTTTTTTTTACAGGAGGTTTGGTTAAATTGGAAGAGACTACAGAGAATTCCAGTTCTGCAGACGCTAAGAAGAGTTGATGTTTGTTCCCCGGGATCCTTGCAATTAGCTGTAACTCCTGTAGGTCAGTCCCTGACGTGCATCCCCCGTGGGAATAAGGCATTAAACTTGTTCGGTTGGAAGCAACTTGTCGTCTTGCAGATCCAAATGCCAACGCGTGTCTTGTCTGCCAATTTGTTAGATGAATGCTGGATTCATTTTTAAATTTTGAAATTTTTTTGTTCTGTAAGGAATACTTGCCGGGCGGGGAGGCGGGGGGGCATGCCGGGTTTGTTTTTGCAGGAATTTTGGTTCCGATGGGCGGCAAAAGGGCAGGAGCAGGCGGCAGCACCCCGCGGCAGTGTCGCAGGCAGGGCGGAGCAGGAGCAGGAGCAGGAGCAGGAGCAGGCAGGAGCTCCCGGGCTGAAGACGCCTCCTTCCCCGTGGATTTGGTCTCCGGGGAGCCGATGCCCAGCGACTGTAGCTTTCCGGCACAACCCGAGACACTCTCCTTTCTCTACCTGTGCTTTTGCAGTTGGAACAGTGTTGTGGTGAACAGCAACTCATTAATAAAAGAAATGTATATTTTTAAGAAAAGAGATTAAATAATTTTTAAAATAGTTTAGGGAAAACAAAGTCTTTGGAAAGACTCAAAATTATTCTGCACGTCTCCTCCTGCTTTGGGTAGCCTTTAGGTCTGGCCGGACGCCGGGATCTGGTCGGGAGAGCAATCCAGAGAGAGAGGGTTTGCTCTATTCCACCCTTTTGTTGTAAGGATAATTTTCTATTTTTATATTGAAGCATTAATTACTCGTTAGCTCAGGGTCAGTGTTATATTCAACTTTATTTTCACACCAAATTTCTGCAAAGCTATAAAGAGGGAGTATTCTTGGCTGGTATAAACAATCCTGGAGGCTTAATTTTACTAGAAGTAGCCAGTTATTTATTAAAACATGATGTTAGTAGAGTTACGGATATTCTGGCTAGATTATTTTTCTTTAGAAAATAAATCATGGAACCATAAAATTGAAAAAGTTATAAATTTATGTGTGGGAAAAAATGGATTGTAAATAGCTAAGTTGCCTTGCGAGGAATTGGAAAATGTGCTGATACTTAGAAACTACCTCAGTTCTGAGGAATTTCCTTTCTAGCTTTGAGTGCTATTACATTTACTTGGTAGAAGTGAATCTGGTCTCCAATATGTAGCTGAAAGAGTTATCCCTGTAGACCTTGTTAGATTGTTTTTAATTTAGAGGGTTGAACTACATCCAGCTGTTTTCTTTCAGCTAAGTTCCCTAACAAAGAGAATTTCTGAATTAAATATTGCTGATGGTTTCCATGACTTTTCCTGATTTGTTTGGTTTCATGGCATTTTCTGATTGCCCTTTAATTATTTAAATGGTTCTAGCCATTTGAATTTTAATCCTGAAATAAACAAACCTTAGATGCACTACCATTGTAAATATATCGCAGTAAGGTCTGACTGGATAACCCTTCTGGCTTATACCCAGCTGGCAGGCCTGCGAAGTTAAATGAAGAAAAAAAAAAAAATAAAAATAAAAAATTAAACTTCTTCGGAGCTCAGAGAATGGTGGAACAAAAGCCCTTGTGTTCAGAGGGGCTGACTTCTCCAACATTGCCCTTCTTGGCGTAAGTGTTCATATGTAAGAAAGTTGCTTGTAAATTCTCCTGCTTTCGAGCGTTTCTGCTCAGAAAAAAATGTTTCTGGATTTATATTTATCGTTTTACAACTAATTGCTTACTAATTATTATTCCTTAGTTTGGTACAAGCCACCAATGCAAAGACCTGCTGCGAGTTTTAAGCGTGTCCAGTTGGCTTTGTTAATAGCACAACAATCCTCCACTATATAAAGGACAGATTTGTCACCTGGGGCTACAGGAAACAAGAGTAAACATCAATGTAGGATGATCAAAAGTTGTGTTTCTGCTTTTATTTTGTGTTTGTGTGTGAAATAGGCTCTTTGACATGAGCTTGTAAACTGAACCATACGGGTAGGGACGAAACGTGCTGCTGATTTTGAGGAAGGCATGTGCTCCCTTCCTTCAAGTGTATTTTTTTTTTTTCCATATAACCATTGCCATTACGAGCATGTTTTAAAGAAAAATTCCCATACCTAGAATTAATAATTAAAGTTAATGGAATTGGTAACGAGCTTCAAATGCAAAATGAACCAGAAAGGTGGTGTTCTTGACAGCATGTGAGAGGCTGTCTCCCAAAGATCTGGAATAAAAAAAAAAAAAAAAAAAAAAAAAATTTACATCTCTAGAAAGGACCTGCTTTTTATCAGCTCTGTACCTCTCCTGACTCCTCCAGCTGGTGGCAGTGGAGGGGGAGAGGAGAGCACAGGAGGGGACTCTGGTAACTGGGGTCTCGTTTCGTGCTGCGGTGGGTGGTGTGGCCCTGAGTCGGGACAAGCGACCAGGGCAGCGAGAGTCGTCCTCCCCCTTCCCAGCCCGGCTTTTGTCCTCCCGGGCAAGCCGGTGTATTAATTCTGGAAGGTCCAACCTCCCCGTGCTCTGGTCGTTTCTTAGACCTGATGGTGCTGCAAGTTTCTGTCACCATCCTCCACTTGCTTTGCTGGATGAAAGACTTGCTGGCCCAGGCAACACCTGGCCTGGTCCTGGCTCCTTTCTCACGGCAGCATCTGGTATCGACACTTCAGAGCAAGGCACCTTCTGTCTGTTTGGATGCTTTTAATTATCGTGTGTCCCACAGTAACTCCTGGCCCTGTTTGTCACCTTCCCCCCCCCATGCCACCCTCTTCTCTCCTGCTTTGTGCAACCCCCCCACGGTGCCGGGGGCTGCTCCCCTGCTCGCGCCCTTCGCCCGCCGGCACAGAACCATGGCATTGCTTCTTGTCCCTGGGCAAGCCCGTGCCACTGGCTCATCTCCGCGGCCAGGAGCACCCGTCGCCTCCCTCCTGCCAGCGCAGGCGGTCCTGGAGCATCTCGGGGGACCCTGAGGACCAAGGATTTTGTGTGTGTGTGTGGAAACTGGTGGCCATGGCTACTGCAGAAGACCCAAAACTGGAAAAACCCATCTCCTGCTGTTGGAAGAAAATAACTTGCACTTTTTTTTTTTTTTTTTTAATGCTGATGGTTTTTGGTTTTACTTTTCTATGTAAGCCAGGCTGAGTATCTAGGATAACTGCAGAGTGTCACTGCCTCAAGTCTCTGCCTGATGTGATGGCCAGTGGCCACCTGCCTGCAGTGGTCCATAAATCAGTACTGTGATACCTGCAGGGCTGGTGGGAGGGTGGCCTGTCCTCTGCTGCTTCTCTTCCTGGGGATGCCAGCAAGGGCTAGTAGTAATTTAAAAACAATTAAAAAAAAAATACAATGCATAGAAGGGAGTGAAAATTGATGCAGAAATATTGCAACCCCCATCCTGGCCGGTGGGATTGGTGTTGACCTGAGCAGCTACGGGGGGACTCGGGGCCAGGAGCCACCCCAGGAGGGCGAGCAGCCCCCGGGTCAGCACTGTCCCTCCTGCCCGTGTCCCCTGGGCTCCCATCCCAGGTGGTTATGTGGCGGCTTCTTCTTTCAAGTGGCCGTGATGGAACGGTTTAAGGGAGCTGCAAGACGCACGTTGGTTGGAGATCATGCAATCCTGGTGTATTTAGGACCACCTGAATATGAACCAACCCCGGTAATGGTTTTCATTTCTTGATAATGCTGTTTCAAGCGTCGTCTTTTGTGGGTTTGGTTTGCTTTTTTGTTGTCTTTTTTGTTTTGTTTTTAATCCTCTGCTGTGGTTTGTTTGCGGGCTTGTAACAGTGTAAATTGCCTGGGAAGATGCAGCTCTTTATGGGCTTGCTGTAATTCTGGGTCAAGTGTGCTTAAATTGCTGTAATTTGTATCTAATGGATTACATGGATTGAGAGCCCTTTTATAACTGCTGGAGCAAGGAGGGGGCTGCCCACTCCGGGAGGGAGGGGGAGGCATCCTCGGCATACCCTGTCCCTTTGTCCCTCTCCTCTGGAAGGGAGGACCATCCTTTTCTGTGATGCCTTGGACTTGGCAGCCTGGCGAGAGCTGGGGCCCCTGCCAGGAGCAGAAGGGGCAGGCGGCCGTGGGGAAGAGGCTTTTGCTGAACCTGGCAGGTTTTGGAGGATGCTGATGGCAAGTCCTGATGTTGTGGTGCCTTCCCCTGTTTACCATCCATGTGCTGTAGGCTGGATGCTGGTGGGGAGCTGGTGGAGATGCTTTTCTTCCCTGAACCTGCTCAACCTCGTTGGCCTTTGCCTTTCTGGGCGCCTCCCAGCCTGCTCACTGCAGCTTTGCCCCGTTTTTCCTTGCTGCCCTGATGGCTTTTTTCCCAAATCTTTGCTCTTTGTGCTGGATGTTCCTGTGTGTGTCCCAGCAGGAGCAGAGCGGGAATGTGTCTCACCCATGGACCTTGGTGGTCTCCCCTGGAAGCCAGCTCCATTTAACCCCCGCCCAGAGGTTGCTGCAACTGTTAAAACGGGAGTTCTCATTTAAAAAGTAGCTCTTAAAATCTGCCTCAGGTTGTTAGCCATTTCAACAGCCAGGTAATGTCTCTGCCTCCCCGATGGCTGCGTAGGGGCTGAATGGGAGCAGCTTCATCCCCATCACGAAATCTGGGGTGCCCGTGCCCCTCTTTCATGTATTGGGGCAATACAATTCCCCTACATAATTGTTCGTCTTCCCAGCGTGTCCTGCCGCATTGTCTCCTGCTACATGTGTCATTAATTCGTGTAATCTGATGCAAATCAATATGCTAAACCCCCCATTAATTGGGTTACTGATTTATACTAATGAGACTTAAAAATCTTGGAGAAGGTTGAGGGTATTTGTTTCTCCTCGGAAGGGCTCGACAAGCTATTGTCAGCCCCACAATGGCTGGCCCTTGGCTGGGCTGGTAATTGCCTCGTGACTGTATTTGCATCGACATAATGGCGAGGATGTTAGCAGGAGTTAAGACATCTCATCTTTTCCTGTGAACAGGAAAATTCAGGATTAGCAAGGTGGAATGCATTCGCCGGTGGTTGCTGGCAGCCCTATTGTGTAGGGTGGCTGCTCTTTACCTCCAAGTCAGCTCTGTCGGTGTTTCCATTATAAACCTGCTTTTCTTCAGAGCTTTGTAAGCTCAGCCATAAAAATCAGGCCCGCCTGAAAACTTGGCACATTAGGAATTGGCCAGGCTTTTATTTTTTCTGGTGGGAACAACTGATGATTATTTTTAGAAGAAATTGTTTCGTCTGTGAAGTTTAATGGGTTGAAATGCTGTTTTGGCATTCACAAGCCTTCAGACCAGCTTTGTTGAAAAGCCCATTTAGCATCATCAATAATACAGTAATGCTGAGGTTCCCCAGGGACAGGCAACTAAAACAATAGCCGAAATCTTACATTTTGAAAGCTAATTGTTGTACATGTTCAGCCATTTCCCCCATGCCAGTACCACACACGCGCTTGCCGTCTTGTGCAAGAAGCAGATCTGAGGATGGTTAAGTCTGCAGGAGGCTTTTCACGGACGTTAGCGGGAGGTGCATCTGCGTTTCCAGGGACTCTTCTTTGGAGGCAAGGTCACAGATACATATCAACTGGGTTGTTGCAGTAGGAAAGCCATTCTGATTTAACCAAGAGTCTATTTTTTTTTTTTTTTTTTTTAAGGTTGCCTTCATATAAGTCCCCATAATGGAGTGTATTTTGTATCAGAGCTGATATGTGCAATCCTAAATAAATCTATGCCGGTATTGCAGGGCTCTGCAGGCAGCTGTCAATGCACGTGTCTTGACACCACCCCTCTGATTTTGTGGGTGAGTGGCTGCCCTGCTCTATTTGCAGGTGAGGAGCTGGGCACCCTGATCCCTGCGTGACGTAGTGGAGTAAGGGAAAAAGTAGCTCTCACTCAAACAGTCCTAAATGACTTTGTTGCTTGCTCTGGATTTCCCATGCGCTAGCGTAGGCCCTGCTGCTTTCGTAAGGGTGCTTCAGGTAAAATGTTTTGGGGAATGAGACGAGGGGCTGGCTTCTGAAGGGCTCTAGCACCTCCGTGTCTTGGGCTAAGCAGGAACTTTGGCTGGTGTCTCATGGCTCAGCTACTATTGCTTTTCCCATAGAAAAAAAAAAAAAAAAATTGGAAAAAAAAAATTGAAATACATAATCACTGTTTATTTGTTATTAAGTTATTTGGATGGTTGCACATTCAAAACCACTTCAATATTGAATAAGAATTTGCTGCTACAAAATAGTGGTGGGATTTGAGGAGGTTTGAGGAGGAGCGGTTGGGGATCAGTGTTTACGTGGGGGAGCGAGGGCTCCCGGCTAGCCAGGGGCCAAGGGAGTCAGAATTACAAAGAAGCGGTTGTCTTTGATAGAGGGCTTCCGGAGCCTAGTTGTCTGAAAACGATTAGCCAAATAAATTAGGTGTGTTCTATTCCCCGTGTTTGCTATGCTAAGTGATTCTGACGTTTGGCTTCCTAGCGAAAGGGGTGAAGTCTGTACAGCAGATAACTCGGCTGGTCTTTTGTCGGCCGCCCCCGTGCCACCCCTGCTTGCTGCCGCCTGCCCGGAGGGAGCAGCGGTGGAGGAGACGGGGAGGGCCGTGCTTTGCACAGGCAGCAACTCGCAGGAGAAGCTGTCGGGGAGCCCGGTGCTGGCCAGGGGGATGGGGCTGCGGCTCCCGGGGAGCTCGTGGCCTCGCGGGATGGCGGAGGGGCAGAGCTGCCCTTCGGCTCCCTGGTGCGAGCGTGCCCCGCCGCCTGTTTTAACCGCAAACTGGTGATGGGAACAGGGGTAAGAATTCCCTTCCTTGAAGGTGTGCTCCATCACGTTGGTGCAGGCACGGCACGGGGTGAATTGGAGGCTCGTCCAGCAGCTCCAAGAGTTGTGGGGCCAGCAGGGGATGGTCAGAAACGAGAGGGAGATGCGAGATGAGTGGCTTGGGCAGCA